GTCTATATACGAATCTTGGGGTAAGATTTGTACATGAATTTTGACTAAAAAATCGGTGTCGAGATTTGAATGCCAGATTAATCTAGAGGGAAATCCATGAAGAAAACGCCAAACTTCGTGGAAATCGGATGAGATTTGGCCGAGATATGGGGGTGGTAAATTTTGACCCATGTCTATATACGAATCTTGGGGTAAGATTTGGACATGAATTTTGACTAAAAAATCGGTGTTTACGACCGTTCGTTCCAATGGCATCTATATGATATATAAGTCCAATGTTGATAGGATTTTTCGTATATATGAGACGCATAGTAGAATAGTATTTATACCGATAGTATCGGTATTTATACCGATTTTGGTAAAAATATCATAATAAACAGAAAGTTTTCATATATAACTTTTCGACCGATCGTTCCTATGATCCCATGATATAGTGGTCCGATCCAGCCGATTCCGACATATATCTTATAACGATAGCTCTGAGAGCCGAGTTCACACAGGCGAACATTGATATATCGACTCAGCTGTTAATACTGATAAAGAATATATATACTTTATTTGGTCGGTGAAGTCTCCTTCTATGCGTTACACATTTCGAAGCTAAGGATACCCTCTGCAAGGATACAACAATAGAGTTTATTAATAAAGAACTATTAGATAAGATATAAGAGTATTATACATGAAATATCTCAGACAATATGATTTCAAAGTTATATTAAGAATGGGTTATTAGATAAGGAATTGGATATTGGAGTATCTCTGGCAATGTGATATTTATATCAATGCTATACTAATAATGGATTGTTCCATTCTAATTTAGATAGATACGATAAGTATGAGAGACGTTAGATTAGATCTTAGGGTATATCTGGCAACACGATTTTATTAAAATTATAAATATACGAATAATAAATTATTATATTAGATATTGAATTATCTCAATACAGAAATAATTGGTTATTTCACTCTAAATTAGATACATAATTACCACAATTAAATAATTTTAAGTACTGAGCTATAAATTATTGTATGCGTTTTTAAATAACTATTTATTAAAATGATAATCTCAATATTTCAAGCACTTACAGTTCTACAAGTACAGTTTGTATCTTTCAGATAAGCACTGAGAGATACTCTGTCACACACTCAGTTTTAAGTACCATTTGTGACGCCCACTTGCATAAATTTGTGTATGATAAATGACGTCACCTTTAGTTTACGATCTATTCTGTGGCCGAAATTAGCATAGAAAGCGCATAAAATCATAAACAGGCCACATAAATAAGCACATTAAAAAATCGGAGAAGAGCATTAAAATAGTGAAAATGTGCAAATTAGGCGCGCCCGCTGCGACGAGGCGCATTTTATGGCCTCGATTTTAGAGTGGAAACTGTGCCAAGATAAATGCCACGCCCCCTGCCCAAGGCGCCAGCCGCCCGCCAACGTCTGTGTCCTGATTTATGGGCGCATATTTGTGATAAATGTGTTGGATTTTAAGGATTTTGCACAAATTACAATGTCTATACAGAGCTTTGACTGAGTGCGTAGTGTGTGTCCTGGTTGTCCTTTATTACCGTGTTTGTCTTCTAGCGCATATGCGCATAATTTTGAGGCAGAAAAAATCAAAGTAAAAATTTTCTAATTTGATTTATTGGCCGACTTAACGCACAGAACGTGCCCAGGTTTGGTTTACGCGAATGTTGTTGTATTCTTTTTTTGCGAACTGAAATTGATTTACTTTGATTTTGCATTTTAAATTGAGGGTTGCTGAAATTGGGCTGACTTGGGACGGTATTAGCCGGGGTTACCTAGGCTGGGCCTATGTGAGGGTTGCGGCGGTGGTTATCGATGTCGATGTCGATGTCAATTGGTGACGTCTTTTGGCGCTTTTGTTTCGCTGTCGCTGCCAATTTATTTTCGATATTTTGTCAGGCACTAAGCAGCCATAATTCCCATTGCATTATGTGCGGCCTGAGAGGACAAACACTCGACCCGACCGACGCGACACACAACACACAACACACACGCGGCCTGCACGCAATTTTAAATGGATTTATTGATACGCTTGGCTGCCGCAACAACAAGCTGAGCAGGGGTAGTGGTAGGGGTAGGGGGGCAGGGTTACATGTTTGCAAACATTGGCAGCAACAAATGCCCGGCTATATTTCAATTGTCACCGAATGAACCCATCAAGCCAAGCATTGTCAGCCACTGATCCTGGCACTGGTCCTGCCTCCTGGTGCTGGCTTCTGGTCGCTTCATGGGAAAACGAGCGCTGAGTTTATTATGCGCATCATTTGCGAATTTTGATTTTAATGATTTAAGCGCCCGGCCAGAGTTGCCAAATTGAATTTTGATTAGTTAGCAACATTTCGCGCACGCGTCGCTACCTTTTCCCGTTGTTCCAGGACCGAGGGTCTGTGTCCTTAAGCATTTTGATTGATTTCAATTATTTGTCAGCGCCCTGTGCTTGTCAGAGTAAAATATAAAAAAAAACTGTGGCAGCGACTGTGGTTGCAGATGCATCTGCATTGCACAATTTCACTCTACTTTCCCCAAATGAAGAGGACTTTTTATTTCAAGCAGGCAATGTAAATTAAATATGCAAAGTTTTTTTTGTTATCACTTAAAATGTCGTTTAGAATATTTGAAGCCTAATTTATTTTTAAATTCATCAAAATAGAAACCTTTGTGGTCTTTATTCCTGTATTTAGGAATTTTGATTTTTATAAGTTAAACTCAATTAAAAAAATAAACTTGAAAAACTATATTATGGTTGTAAGCAATCCATCATAAATTTGGCAGACATATGACATAACGCAATCGACCCGGTTGGAGAAGTAGCTGATATAGGAAATATCTAATGTATATGGATCCATTATTAAGATCTTTCATTTAAAAGTTTTTATTTAGTCTTTAGTCTTTATATTATATGAAAAAAAATGTTCGGGTTTTCAAATCTATTTTAGACAGTGAATAAACAAAATGCGTTGCTCACTCTTAGCTCCATTCATTATCTTATTAGTTTTTAAAGAACCGATGTTGAATGTAAGTAAAATTTGTGTTCACAAATGCTTTCTACCTAAAAAGCTCTCTTTAGGTTGCAGTTCATGTGAAATGGACAAATGCCGTATGCGGGTCTGACAATCAGACATTTTTGCTGCAGACGTGCCGTTTGAAAGCTGTTCAGAGAAACAAAACCCTTTTGATATTTACAGGTACTTTCCTACACACAGTCTATGATTTAAGATGCCGTGTTATGTTGATTAAAAAGGCGAATGACATCACATAACAATTCTAAAAATATTTACTTCAATAAAAAATAAGATGCAGTTAACAAATTTATTTTCGATTTATGTCTAAAACTAATAAAAGCCCATAAACTTTATTCTCACTGAAGTTCCTTTAAATTTATGAACTTATATACACATATGAACTGTTGAACCCTCTTTTAATATGCATAACTCATAAATGACCGGCCACTCACAAAACTTAATGGACCTCAACCACTCGCAACAACAATTTCGGTCTCGAGTGCATACACACACTCATAAAGGAACACCCAAAAGAACAACAACAATAAATAATAAATAATATTTCACATAAATAATTGTTTCCCTTCCCGAATTCCTAACCCAAATAAAAAAAAAAGAAAAGGCCATACAATTGTGGATGTTGCGACGAAAAATATGTTAACTAATCACCGTAGGAAAGGAGTTTTATGGGTTTTCATTTCCGCATATAATCGACTTATGCCACAAGCCAAGAAAAGCGGCCAACGCCGCCGCCGCTGCGTCATCCTCGAAGCAGTCAACGGGAAAAACCAAAACCGGAAATGTGGAACGTTAAGCGTTGAGCCAGAGATGCGACACTGGAGGTGATAAATGTCAATCGGCAAAAATGTTGTTTGCGAAAAGTGCCGTAGAAAAATGTCATTTCCTTTATGAAGCTCGGATATGAGCTGCGAGTGGGTGTGGCCGTGGTCTCGCCCATGCTCTAAAAACAATTCATATGTGCATTGAGTTGGCCAACACAATAACTTGTGTTCAACACTAACACAAATCAACTGAAAGTTGTTGGCAATAAAAACTACAGGGGTTGCGGGTGAGATCAGCAAAAGAAGTTACTCCGTGAATATATGGTTATTGGGTCCAGCGCGACTGATAAGTCGGGCCGCAGCAATTACAGCAGCTTAATGACTTGTATTACCCGCCCGAGAGCCTGGCCCTGCCCAGTGGCAACAGTTGCCCGGGCCACTGGACAGGCGGCACAAAGGCGCGGCCAAGGCAACGGGTGTCATTCACAGCTTAACGCCGCATATTCTGGCCGCATTTGAATATCCAACGTCACCTCCTGTCGCTGGCTCCTGAGCACAGCTCCTGTTTCTGTAATTAGATGCCAGGCGCAACGCATGCCAAATCCAAGATAATAACGCCGCGGTGGTCCCGTCTTTGAGTGGCACTCGTCAGTGGCCTGTGAAAAAATGAAACGCGGCAGGACGCTGGCTCAAACACTTTATCAATTGACACACACACACACACACCATGACAACAATGCCACTCAAACTCCATCCACAGCTAATTGTAAATTCAAACAGTTTTTTTTTACTATTCCTTTTTATGCCCTGTACTTTATTAAAAATGCGTAAGACAGGGTATAATCAACTTGTGCATATGAATGTAACAGGCAACAGGCATAGAGTATATATATTTCATGTGTTACTTCGAATTTGGAATTTAGATTCTTGGGTATTATACTTAAACAAGTTTTCGATAGAAATTAAATTTCAATTCTGGGTTTTTTTTGCATAGCTCAGGGATTATAGAAGCTGGAGACACCAAATGTGGTGTGAATCTTTTCTTATGGCATACACGATTCTAGAGCATTTCATTTTTGAATTACTTTTAAAAGTATTTTCAAAATTATATGCCTTGATTTTTATTATAAAATATCATATCAGAAAATAAACAAAAAATATGTTCAAAATGATTTCTTCACACCGGGTATCTCCAAGTCGGGCAGGTTCAACTTCAGCGCGTTAACTTGTGTTTTTTTTTCAGTCTCTTGTATTTCTTTTATTGTATTGAAATTTGACTAACGCGCGTCCAGAGAAATTTATTGCGTTTCCTTGATAATGACATAATATTTTACGCTTCGACAGAGACACACAGGCACAGAGCGGGGTGGAGAACGCGCCAGAGCCGAGTGGGCAGCAAGTGGAGCACTGGGAACTTCACTTGAGCATCGACAGTTTTTATTTAAATTTCAATTGTGTGCTCACGGCGTGTGTGTGTGTGTATGTGTGTGTGCGTGTGCTACACATTTCCATTAATTTTAAGTGGTGCGCTCACAGTTTCCGCCATGGAATTGGTAGCTGGGATTGCGTTTGCCTTTGCGGTCGGGTGTAGGGGGGTTGGACGGCACCTTGGGACCGCTTCGCGTCCATTGTTGGCAGCTGTATCTGTGTCCTTTGCATTATGCTATTGTTATTGACTTTTGCGCGCCGCTCAATCATAATCACAATCATAATCAATTGTTCGCTCCGCGCTTACCTGCGCCGGTTCTTATCAGCGAAGCGGCACGTCATTTGCATAATGCAAACATTGCTGTGCCATGTGGCAGACAGTGTGGCACAGACATATATACACGCAGCTAAGGCGCTTGCTGCAAATCAAAAGATTTGCCGGCTTAAACAAATTGGCAACATATTTGCTTTGGGCTTTCAAGTGGGCCACGTGAGCTGAAAGCCCAAGATCTTCAAAGGTAAGGGCCAATGGGCAAACATTTTGCAAAAAAGGGGCAAATAAATGCTGAAAATTGTGACCTTAATTTGCAAAAGTAAATAAAAATCAGGAGAGCACGGCCAATTGCGGCAAGCCGAACATTAAATACCCTTCGCTTAAAAGTGCTAGACATAAAAATATCTGTAAAAATCGAAAAGCCTTATATGATTTAGTGCTTCGATCCAGGTGTCTGCAACAGAAAGAGTGACAGACGAACGGACGAAGTGAGGATTATGATTATATTGATTTGGTGCGGATACTGATCAAGAATATATACGTATATATATTTCTAAATATTTGATTAACTGGAGAAGTCGAGCTAATCAAGATTCTAAAAATGGAAAGGTCGCCAAAATCAACATTATTCACACATGGAGTCGGCAACGTTTGATTTTTGCACATTTCGTACCAAAATTAATATGCTCTCTGCAAGGGTATTAAAAGATAAAGACACAAAAGAAGAAAGCGGTAAAGCTGCACGCAAATAGGACTTTAAAATCTAATTTCGCATTTTGCCAGCAAACCGCCAAAGCGTGCAAATAGAGAACTTGGTGGTTGGATAAGATGGAACCCTTTTGTAAAAATTTACATGCCAGCAAGGCACACACACACGTACACACACACACACACACACACACACACACACACTCGCATGCATATTATTTGCAAATTAGCCGCTTGGTGGACGGAGGGAGAACTTGACATGCGAAATGGAACCAATAAACCGTGAAGCACACGCAGGCGGCCGCCAAACACCAGGCAGCAGGCACCATTCACCAGTTGCCAGTTACCAGTCGCCCGGCCTGGGCAATCAGTGGGCTCAATCCCTTTGGAGTGGGGACGGGGTCCAAGCACTGGTTGTCATTTTGTCAAACGCATTTGAGTATGAGCGCCCGCGGTGGTATGATGCGTGCGTCGCCTTTCTCTGTATTTCGCTCTGTTGTTTGCTTTAAAGTTTGCAGATATGTATTTTTCCTATATACTTTTTGCAGCCACTGTTTGTTGTGTTGGCAACCGCTGGATGTTTCATTAAAGGGTTCGAGAGGGGGCTGTATTTGCTTTGCGAAAGTCGCAAAGTTTGCCCATGCAGGAGCCTGGTGGCCACCACATTAGTCCTGTTTGTCATGTGGAACATGATTTGAGGCATTTCTGCTTCAATTGCTTTGAAAAGGCGGCTGCAAAAATGGATATGATGAAAGAAAAGCGTACGCCATTTGCATGCTCTATTCCAATATATTCGCATGTACAGAAGCCCATGCGAAGGCAATATTAATGGATGCGCATCTTCTGCATATTGTAGGTTATGTTCAGCTGTGCTTTGTGCGCAACTGTACGCAGGGAAAGAAAGAGAGAGAGAGAGCGAGAGAGAGACAGTTGGCGTTGTTACCTGAAGATAAGTGAGTAAACTATAAGAATGCGAATTAAATTATCTATGATAAATGAAAGAAAATTTAATTTATTTTTGCTAAAAATTTACTTGAAAGTATTTCAAGTAGAAAATTGTTGAAAGTAGAAAACTCTTTTGGTTGAGCTTGAGAGATTGTCAGATTTTGAAGAAAATTCAATATAAAATTCACTTCTACGACTTTTTTACCTTGAACCCATTAAAAATGGGTATAAGGGTATATTGTATTTGTGCAAAATCCAAATGTATGTAACAGGCAGAAGGAAGCATCTCCGACCCCATAAAGTATATATATTCTTGATCAGCATCAATAGCCGAGTCGATCTAGCGATGTCCGTCTGTCCGTCCGTATGTATGTATGAACGCAAGGATCTCAGAACCTATAAGAGCTAGAGACTTGAAATTAGATGTAGCTGCTCCTAGTGCCTGCGCAGAGCGAGTTTGTTTCCGATAATCGATAACTTACCATTTTTAAAAATTCCATCTAAAGTACGAAAAGCGGCAAATTGAATACATATTCCACACACGAACTTTGTGGGCTCAAACTTATTGACAAACTCATGTTGTTTTTTTTTTCTTGATTAGCAGACAATTCCCAAAATGACCAGCAAAATAATGGTGCCGCATAACAAGCTTGGATATGATTGAATAAGGGGGGCGGGGAAGGGTAGGGTACAGTCTGCACATTAGAAATGTAGAAAATTACGAAACTAACGAGCAGAAAATACGTTTTGAAGTTTGCTGCATCATCATCAGCATCAGGACAATTGATGAACGATGCGCCGAGCTGGACACCCGAATTGGGGTGGACAGTGGGCACGTTTAACCCTTGCATGTTAGCCAATTAACATGGCAACTGACGCAAAAGGACGCGCACTTGACCAGGCGACCACCAGTGGTCGGCGCCAGGTCCTGTTTTTGCTATAATTGAAAGTCATTGAGTGTGAATAACTGGGCATTTGCTTGTACATTTGTCACATGCGCGCGCGCGCGCGTTAAACTTCAAACAGGTTAGGCAGCTGGCGGCATTTTCGGACTGCCCAGAGTTGCTACAGTCGTGGTGTCAAAATTTATAAATGGCTGGTCACTCGGTGACTGGTCAAGTTCATGTTATGCGTCAATTGTTGCGCCTCAGTGGGCAAAGTTCACTTGCCAATGCACACAAGTGCGACAGTTGTTGTGTGTGTTATTATGTAAACTTACAAAATTGGGGTCACAGTGTCCACAATTTTAAAATTATTAAAAAAAGTTCCTTTTTTTTGTGGTAGATCCAGCCGGAAGGCTTTGTGTTGAGCGAGGGTGTCCGCTGCTCCAAACTCATATCGAGATACAGATCTCTGCCTAGAATCGAGTGTCATTCGCCATTCGCAGTTTAACGCAGCGACCATGGCCTAAATCTGGCCCAGGGTGTCTCCAGATAGGACGCTGTTCGAGTTGCAGGCTGCTTGTGAAGAGGTCAGAGTTTAGGCGTCTGTACAGCAGTCGCAACTTCAGGTGCACAGTGGAGCTGATATACCAAGCCAAGCTGCTTTGCCTTGTCGGCACGATTGCCTGCTGGGGCACAGTTTGACATGCGCTGCTTTTATTTACATTAACATATGCAAAACTGTGTACGCCCCAATGTGTCACAACCTTATCATTATCATCTTTATCTAACCTAATCACTGGAGTGAAATTGAAACAGCTTAACCCTTATAAACAAGACTCAACTGTCTGGGGTGGCTCATCCGGCAGGCTTTCATAAATCACGCCGAGAAAAAATAATGTAAAAAGATTCTTATAAAATATTACGAAATATGAAAGCGTGGAAAACTGCTGAAAAATCGCGTGACGAGCGCATGTCAAAGCGCAAGGGGCCGGGCCAGGGCAAAAGGGGTAAGGTAATGTCGGCTTAGAGTCAAACCGCACGGTCTGTGCGGGGCAGGGGCAGAGCGGCAGCTCGGGATGTGCGAATGCGGATTGAGCGGCGACTTACAAGCGTCTGACATCAATCAAAACGCACAAAGCGACGCGATGATGCGATTTGCACTAACGATGCAAGGCCCTAGCCCCTGCTCCCGCTCCCGCTGCCAGTCCTGCGCCCACTCCCAGTTCCAGGCCACATGTGTGACAAGAAGTCATTTGAAATTGGTTGAAATTTTAAAGTAGTTTGCGAGGGATTCGCGAACGCGTGTCAAGCTGGCAGCTCCTTTGGGATTTGCCAGCCCTTTGAATAATGATGATGCTGTCGCCGTCGTCAGACGGGTTTTTCGCTTTCGTTTTTGGGAAAATTTGCATGTGAAAATAAATCGCAAGTGCCGAATGCGCCATGTAATTTACACGTTTGACAAAGTATCAATGATATCGACGGGGACGACGTCATCGCCCGTGACACAAATCGTCGCAAATCGTTATTTACAATACACACAAGACGCACCCGGTTATGCCGCTGAGCCCTCTGCCCCCTGCTCCTGCTCGTGCCACTGCCCCGTGTGCATTTTCACGCCGCAACCAAGTTGCGAGCTGTTGGGCGGGCGGGGCATCTCTTTGGCGGCGGCAGTGTCACAAATATCCCGCGGCGCTTTCGCTACACATTCGAACAACAATGTGTGAAAGTTTTTTTCTGTACTCGTAAAAAATGAAGCGCCGCATGTGTCAGACACAGGCCTCAGCAACAATCCGACCCCGCCCGCCACTCCTTTGGCCTCTGCGCCTTTTTAGTAGTTTTTAATGTTGTTTTGGTCCCCGAGGCTTTTGGCACTCGGCTCCAGTCATCCCCCCCTGTTAGCCCCCACCACAAAAGGTCGCCTGGGGCGTTTTGTACTTTTCTACAAAATTAATTTTAACCACAGCCACCGAAATTGCAACAGTTCGATGATTAATGATTTGTTTTGGCCGGCACGCGATCGAGTCACAACTGTTCGTCTTCTTCCTTCAACGAAATCGAAATGACGAAATGTGATATGGCCCACATAGGGGCCTTTCTTTTTCCAGTTTAGTTGTTTTTTTATTGCCTGGAATTATTCATTTCTT